TTTCTTGTTCTTTATTTTCTTGTACTATGCAATATCAGATGGCACTTGTCAGCCTTTTTTATTTTCCCTCAAACATTATGCCTTCTAAAAATGTTTTCTTTTTCCTCTTGTGGCTAGCACTTGTGGTACTTTCATGTACTCCAGTAGTGAACAGGAACCTTAAGAAACGTTAACCCAAGAAGCAACATTTTAAAATTACAGTTCTGATGTAACAATCCTTTCTATATTTTATGTAGAACATACATGGGTCTTCATCATCATGCAAAGTCCCTATCAACTGGAATCTGGGGAAGATGAATAATCAGAGATAACATTCAAGATAACTTACAGAAACTGAACTGGTTTAGGAAATTGTACAATGTATGCAAGTTATCACCATTTTTATCTTCGTAGCCCTTTGCCTGTAAAGTCAAAGCATTTAGGTTCATTTCCACCAACTCTTCACATGTCGGGATCTGAGACATTCAAAACGGCTCATAACATAACCCAGAACAGCTTCTGCTTCTTTTTTTGTTCTGCACAGTCACCTTGTAATTTTAAAGTCTGATGTCTTGGGACCTCATAAAGCTCAGAGTGAGTCCTGTGTGAGAGAGATCTACTTCACTTCTCCGACACCACAGCGTTCCTGTTTCTACTCCTGAGGAGATGAGGTCTGCGGTATGTCTGATGCTCATCTTTCCCCTCTTCTTTGGGTCAGCAGGTAGGAGCTGTCTGTGTTCAACATTTCGAATGAAGGAATAAAACATTTGCCTGTCTGGCTGCAGCTTTTAAAGTAGCTGTGGGAAGCTGCTCCCTAGAGCTTTGGAATATTATGCCTCTTGCTGAAGAAGGTGGAGTAGCAGGAGGAGAAATATACTGTGGGCAATAAACTGCAATAAGCGTGATTCATTTTATGGCTGCTGCCATTGCATTTGTAATATGTCTAGAGTCTGTGTGTGCATGCAGAAATGTCTTTGTGTCATTATATTATTAGATTTCTGTAGTACCCACAACTAGCAGTGATCAGGCAATCTAATTCATTGAGATCATGTATATTTTTTCTGCTAAAAGCTAGAAATAGACCTTTGTTTCTCAAGAAGGGGAGATAATTTAACTGGAAAAGTTACATCTGGTTTCCTGCATTGTAGTCAACACATTTCTGAGTTCGTAATAATTAGCTTAGGGGTGTATTTTGTTCAATTTCCAGAAGACATTTATATTACTGTGGGGGAAAAAAATGAACATTTTCAATCTATAATTTTAGTCTGGTGGCAAAATATTAAACATTTTCATACCAAGGTGTAGATTGTATTTTCAGCCATTTGACCTTTGGGATGTAATGACTTAATTCCCCCCCAGCTGTTTGCTGAGGAAATGTACCTACTTCTCTTCGGATTCAGCATATGTCTGGGACGCCATCAGTTTATGGCAATTTAAAAAGCTGCTTCTTGTAAGTTAAGGTGCTGTGGACCATGCACATGCTCCTAGCTTACTCCAAAGTGAGATAAAGTACCTTCAATTAAACTACTTTCCGTTTGGTTTAAGCTGAGTGCTTTATTTAGCTCTTGGAGCAACCCAAGAGAAACTGGGCTGCTGGTGGTGGGTCAGGAGAAGAGCCGTAACTTAGTAGGAGTCATGGTAACTCAGTTATATTTAATCCTATGCCCAAACCAGGGTGTCCCTGCTTCACACCTGCATGACCTTAGCCTGCTGAAGGAGGCAGTGAAAGTGCAGAAGGCATGCTCATATCTCTCTGGATACAGAGTTGATAACTCCAACAATTTTGGAGGTATCAATGATCACACTTGTGTGTGCCATAGCTTACTGATGTACACAGGTAAAGGTAAAAATGGTCAATTCATAATGTTCCTCTCCCAGTCCTAACAAAGCTTTTTGTTTACTCTGTGTAACTTCAAACTGTTTCACAAATGCTTTTTGCTTCATTGATACCTCCTCTACCATTTTATGTTTGTGCCAGCCAGGTACTGAACACTAGCACTGTCATTTGGCAGCACTTTCGCCAGATGTCAATGAATGCACCGGGTTCTCGTACCTAAAGAATTAAACCTCCATGGTAGACCATAGAGAGTCAGCCAGTCTTAGCCTCCTGTGAATAAGACGTAGGCCTCAGGCTTCCTGTTGTGTGGCTGAAGTTTGATAGATCATTGCCCATCTGCCAAGCTGCTGTAACTAGGCTCACACAGGTGCACAGAAAACACAAGGCAATGTGACTTAGCTTAGATCTCTTCTCCTCCACGCTGAACTAAAATCACCTCATATTTACTCAAATAGGAGCACACACATCATCGCCTGCTGCAAGGTCACTGGATGCTCAGTGACGTGGGAATCAACTCAGACTTGATCAAGAGTATGAGCCCTTAATTATTCGTGATCTAGAATGATTCCTAGTGGCATTTTGCAAGAACAGGGAAGTTTGTACTGGAGTCCTATGGGTGGAGCACGTGTAGCTACTTTCTTGTTAAATTTGTTTTGCATTATCATCTGAGTATAATTTTCGATTTTATGTCTGTTCCAAGCTTTTGGGTAAAGTTCACGTGTAATGATAAACAGCTGCTTTGTTGCATTCAAGTGATAGATGGAGTTATGCCCACTGATAGGCAATTTCTTAAGCACTTCAGCATCTTAATGAATGAAAGATGCTCTCCACTGACGGTAGAATCACTTAGGTCAGTTCAGAACTGAACATTGAAATCTAGGAGTCCAAGTGCTGAGCCAGTGAAGTATTTGGGGTGGGAAGGAGGAATTCCAGCATTCCACCATTGGCAGCAGTTATGTTTCAGAATTGTGTAGTACCTTTAGAGAGGCAGTGGAGAGTGTGGGGTGGAGCAGCTCTTGGGAAAACACAGCCTGTGATTTCTCCCAGACACAATCTGAGGCCCACGAACAAAAGGAAAGATTTCCATTGGTCATATCCCCCTACATACGACTGTGCATGGCCTAAGTGAGCCAGCAGTGTTAGTAATTCCCATTCCATGGATTTCTGAGCAGGGACAGCCTGACTCTGACTTCTCCTGAGTGGCTGCTGCAAAGCAGGGGAATGCTACACTGATGCTGCCTTCTTGTCAGATTATTTCACCCTTTATCCTATCTTCTTTCTAAGATTAGTTTTCTGGAAATAAACAATTTTTAAAGCCAGGGCCTGAGCTGAAATCCTTACGGACCAAATGCACTCTTAGTTATCTATACAATAGCCCCTGAGATAAATGTTCATGGTTGGAGACGGGTGGCTCCCACAGATGCTACACTGTCTTCAGCCTCAGCCCCAGGATGGATGGCTGAGCGGAGCCTGTTTGGCTATGGCATATTGTTGAGGTTCTTTTACAGATCTCACCCTTCCACAGACATCATATAACTCTTTTAAGTTTCTCCACAACATAGGTCTCAGCTGCATGGGTTTTAACAGAAAAAAATACCCAAAACACAGATCTTCTTCCTGTGCCTGGGGCCACCCTCATGCTTGTATGAAGGAGAGCCCCTCCATTTTCACCGTATTAACAGAAGTGCATAAAAGCAAAAGCAGAAAGAGCACTTTTACACTGCATTCATCAACATGTGAAAAAACAATCTACCTGCAACAGTTACGGGCTTGTTCCATTACGTGTCACGAAACAATTGTCTCTGTGCATGCTGGTGCTTTTAAAGCTGGCACTGCTGTTGACTTAAAAGCTGTTTGCGTTACATTTGCCCATTAAGTATAGATTTCTGTATGTACAGCACCAAGGTGAACAAGTCAAACGTACACTCACACCACAACCAGAGAACTGCTGTAGTGAGCACGTCTGCCTGAAATTCTCACATCCCTGCCCATGTCTTATTATCATGTTTTATATTTAAAAGACCAACACAACATCATCAGTTTTTCTAGGAACTTGATCACAAAGGTTTGACAACCATCTTTGTGTTGATGTTGTACTGACAAATTACTGCCGTACAAGAAGTGGAGAAGAGGAGTCTCCCCAGACTGGGGAGCGCTGAGCCCTCATTAAAGCTAGTACTTAGTAGCTCAGTTCCTTGTTCTGCCAAAGACTCGCAAAGTGGCTTTGGCTCAGTTTGGATGTATTGGATACATATGGATATATTCAGATTATCTGTTTTAGCACCACAGTTAGATATAGATGCTTTCTAATCCAAGTTCAGAAGAGACCTGGGGGCCATATTCAGGCTGCCTTTTATACATGCTCGTATTGCTATTGTAGCTACTTACTGGCTGGTCTAACAGTGGCCTGAATAGCTCTCTAGTGAGCATCGAAGTTACTGTCAAAGTCCATGCACCCTGCAAGGTGGTCTGAATAAAGCCCTTTTTTCTCTTTCTGTCCCCTCATCTGTAACGCAGGGACAGTAACATACTGCAGCAAGGCTACGGAGATGTTCAGATCCCAGTGAAGAGGACAACATGGCTACTTTTATAGGCAAAGATCTACTATGCTGAAATAATGTAAGGGCACCTGGTTTTAGAGGAGTTTGCCATCTGCGAGAGCTGACTCCACATAGAATATCCAAGAGCTAAAAAAGGGATGTAGAAGTTAGCAAGAGTGCACCCTGGCATCTGTAGCAGCAATTTTACATTGACTATGCTGTATTCCAGCTTAGCTATTCCCAGATGGCACTGTATTTTACAATTTCCTCTTGCAGTTGACTGCTATCGTACATATATATAGTACAACAAAGATGTATACAAGGGTGGATTATTGCCTGTTCTTTGTTGTACACTCTTTTCCAAGGATCTGGGGCTTTTTTTTTGTGGCATTTAGTCTTCCTCAGAAGAGTATCTTTGCCTGGAAATACAATATATGCAGCAGCTACAAAAGATAAGGAGAAAGAGAACAGTATGGCTAATAATGAGAACACCAACAGCAAAGATGTACAGGGTTTTGTCACAGTAGTCCTGAGGCTGATGGAAAGGTGGGATGAAATTTGGCAGGTACACAGAAAAAACCCAATAGTTCCCAAGAATGAACCAGAGAAAGAGGAAAAGGCTGAGGGTTAGATGGATGTAGTACTTGTGAGCATTCTGCCTCCAGGGATATTCATCATCATCATCGTCATCAATCACAACAGACTTGGAGAGCAGCTGCCTCATCTTGGTTGAGTCGTACAGCAGAAGAGTCACCTGGAGACATTGAGGGAGAAAAGGGAGTAAGTAAATTGGCTGTGGAAAGCCTGAACACCTTCTGACCACTGCCAGCCTTTGGGCCAAATTAAAACTGGGTGTGGGAAAATCATGTAAGAGAAAGCTGAGTAGCCACAAATGAGACAGATCTTGCTGGCAAATAATGCATTTTCCCCCTACAGTTTATTCACCAGTGAGAGTTGGGCCAGACACTGGAAAAAAATTGCTAATGGTAAGCATGGAAAGACATGAGAACAGATTGTGTAGGGAGATGGCAGCAGCTCCCACGCTGGAAACTTTTAAGAACAGATAAGAGTAACTGCTAAATGACTTAAGTGGAGTAGTTCCTGCCTTGTAGTGGGTGGATTTGTCTCTCCTAACTCTATTTTCCATGGCTATATAGGTGAATCAACTTAAACAAAATTATGAAGGATCTAGACTTTGACCTAAACCACAAATAAATTACTTCAGATTCTTGGAATGATTCTGTCAAGTTTTCTCCAATTAAGCATCATTTTCTCACATTGCTCCATTCCTGCCTTCTATCAGAACCAGCAGGGAAATAGGTGGAATACCATGATACTGTGAGGTTAGGAAGGTCTGGTCTGTAGGGAAATGCAGTAGGACTCAGCAGCAATGCTCAGAAGATTTCTCGTTTAGTCTTAGCAGTACAAAGTACGTAGGTAGGCTGACTGCAGTGTAGAGAAGCTTTCAAATTCCTGTCCCCTAAATGACTTTCTTAATTTTGGTAGACTTATAGGAGAGGTATACACAGGGCCCAAGAAGGATTTGGGCCAAACATTGTGAAACCTGTGTTATCTTGCGACACCTGAAACACTTGGCCCCATCCTCAAGGCACTGGTGGTTGTAATCGCAGCTCGCCTTTTTAGGTATTCAGGTTCCTGTGCAAGCCTCCCTGCAGTGAGCTGTGTCATTGGGAAAGGGACTCTGAGAAACCAACTGAGCAGGAAGCTGCCTCGGCCAGCCAGGAATGAAATTCAGAGGGAAAGGTAAAAGGTGTGGATGTAGAAGTGGCTATGGGGAGGGATGTACTGTCCAAGCAGGGGTTCTCAGCCACGTTCTCTTTCCTGAAGAAAGAAAATTCTGTGCTCCTTTTTCTGCTTGAAATGAGAGAGAAGAGCACCCCTCGTTTTACACTCTCCATTCTCCATTAGTCAATGATTAATGGTGAGAACACCGGCTAAGGAGAACCCATTTGGGTATATGTTCTGCCTTGTTCAGATTTTAGTCCACGTGCCCCTTTTTCCCGAGGCAAGGCTTAGCAAGAGGATCCAGGACATCCTGGGAAGAAGACTCTCTTGCTCTTCCCTGTAAAACTGTTCAGTTCTGTACAAATTATTAAATATTTGTTCACAAAACTAGCTGTTTTTCTAGCCCAGATGTTGGTACCAGTTTGTGAGAAACAGAGATTAAAGTCCCAGCACCCACATAGGCAAAAAAATGGTGTTTCCACTGGATGTCTCACAAACAAACTGGTAGGCTTGTTCAAACCAGCAGAGCATCTTCTTCTCAGATGAACATTTATTTTAGGCAGGCTCATGATACACAGGAGGGACAAACCTGCCTGGCTAGTGGGTCTGAGGTTTCCGCGTGGGGACCTGTGGCTTGACCTGAAGCTCTCTGCAGCTCATTAGCTCTGGGGTGAGCTCAGCACATAGGCAGCCTGTACTCAAGCTTCGCCAAGCTCAGCAATGGGAATGGGGTTAAATGGCAGATAAGCACTGGGTGTGAGGAAGTCAGAGAAACCTCCCAGGTGGATTTATGGATCTCAACTGCATCTAACCAGTTCATGGAAAGTGCATTTAATTCTTATGGATATCACCTTGCCAAGCTGTGATTGAAGCAAATTCTGGCAGTTGCTCACATTGTTAATAACTGCTGAATATGCATGTATGGAGCAGCATGATATGAATTTGGCAGGCCGCTCCTGATGCTGTAGAATGGTTCAGTTGCCTTGGTGAACATCTGTAGGTTATCATTGCCTTTTGAAAGACTGGAGGTGGTAAAGAAACAGATGAGGAGCCTATAGATCTGTACAGATCTGGGCGTGAATGACTTGCCATTAAACGATGTCCATCACAGGACAGTGTTCATTCAGACTTCATCCTATACCCATTCTCTGAGCTTTTAACTCTCAGAGGTCAAGCAAATGTACTGCTCAGTGAAGTCGGTGCTGTCTGATGAACATGACAGAGGGCACAGTTGAGACAGGTGGAATTTAGCTTTAGACCAAGCGCTATGAGATGGCACGTGAGTCAGGCCAATCAAGTTCTGACCAAATGTATTGCCTGACTGCAAAGTAGGCAGTCCTGCTGTAAGCGAAAGAAAAATAAAAGCCATTATTTGATGTCAACAAGAATATTAAAATGTTAGCTGTCCCATTTGTCATCTTATTTAGGGTGAGAAAAACAGACTTTAAACCAGAAATAGCTAAAAAATAGTCAACATTTTTGATCAAGGATTCAATTAATTTGCCTGAAAATTTCCCTTCAATTCTGTTTTATTTTCTAAACTATTATTAAATGAACCTTTGATTATACAGACAAGTCCACTGGTGTGATTGAATAACTAAGCATTCGCCAGTAGAACTCATAGCATGGCTAATTCCTTATAACAAGATTAAGCACTTTCTTTTTTTTCTGCATTTACTTATTTACTGACCAAAGGTTCTCGGGGGCATGATTCATATCCTAGCGATGTACTGTGGTTTGGTTACCACTGTGAAAGACTGCAGGGGATGAAGAGACCTGCAGAGGAATATTCTTTCCCCCTTCTTTCTATCCTGCTAAAGAAAAGGGGCTAGAAACTTTATCAAAGGGGAACATAGTAGCTTCTGTCTGCAGTGTCTGCTGGCTGCAGTATGCAGTACTGTCAAGTTGGGGACTACCAGGTTCCCTTTCAAGGGACAGGCTGCCTGTACTGAAACCTTAGGCCACAAGACATCAGGTCTACCGTGTCTGCCCCATGGGTGCCAGGGTCCTGGGAAGGCAGGCTGGGTGCCGGGTTGCTGCTGCCCGATTAGCTGTGCAGGACAGCCAATGCTACCAGGACAGGCGTTCGCTCCAGCAGCAGCACTTACTGTTCCAAGCCCTTCATGCCCCAGGGGTGCGGTTCCAAAGCTCTGCACCTTTTCCTTCCTTTGGCAGGAACATCATCAGGACAGCAAAAACCAATTTTGCTTAATCCTGCTGAGAAGCCTTAAAGTAGCTCTGCAGTCTGTTGTGACAAGCCTCTTTGTGCCCACTAGCAGCCACTTAACACCATCTGCAAAGGGACTGTCAGAACTGGGCAATACTTTACCAAGTCAGTGCAAAATTATAGCTTTATATTGACCAGGGTGTAGCATGGATATAGGGGTGTCTCTAGTTGCGAAGCAGCCAGGTCCTGGCTCAGCGAAGATATAAGCGAGCACCGTCCACTAGAAGACAGGCATCTGTGGTTAGAAAATGCCGTGCCTAGGTTAATAAGCCCTGCTGTGATGCAAGGATAGATTTACTCTGGAAGGAAGCCATGCTGCTGCATAGTCATTGCTTCTGGCCAGGTCAGAGCAGGAGTAAATTGAACTTGTGAAGGATTATGTACAAACACCTGTAGTTTTATAGTATTCCCAAACCTAGGAGAGTAACCTCACTTTTTGTCTAACCTGTGTGTCTGAAAACGAAGGAGTAAGGTCTGGCAGGCTTGGAGGACTGCTTGTGGAAATAGGACCCCGTTTACCACAGGCATCCATACTATGTAGTCGTTTCCCTCAGTAGGGGTGGCAGCACAAGTGCTGTGATGTCGGAGAAAGTCACATCACAATGTGTGGGACAATGCTGAATGCTGAATAGCATCTCACTTGACCGACAAGTGCTTCAGGTGCTGGAACAAGCACAGTTCGATCCTGATAGCTCTGTTCAGTACTGCATGCACATAGCTGTCTGGAGCCATCATTATGTCTTAACTAGCAAGTCAAAGTCTAGTCACACAAAATATTTTTCACACACAGAAGGCACATTACCTTTAAGCTGCCAATCACGCCACCCACCAACAGATATAATGGAATTAGTGGTTGAACTGGGCAATCTTCCAAAAACTTCATTCCTGAATAGCAGAAATTAACGTTTGTTATCTCAAGTGATCAAATAGTGCAACAAAATGTATGGTGAAAACTAAAGATACTGTAAGTGCATTGTAGTGCTTAGACCCAAGACTCCTATCTAGCGTCTATTGAAATGGGGGCTAAATTAAAGGGGCTTTGCATCTCCTGCTACAGGAGTGAGGGCCGTGAACAAGCAAAAGGCAGGAGAAGGAAGAGAGAGAGCGAAGGTAACAACAGCATTAGTGTTGTTCTGGCATTACCGATCAGAGCCACATACACAGGTCGATATCTCATGGATATCTCATGCTAGTCAGCATGGATTCACCAAGGGGAAATCATGCCTGACCAATCTAATAGCTTTCTACGATGACATGACTGGCTGGGTAGACAAAGGGGGAGCCGTGGATGTTGTCTACCTCGACTTCAGCAAGGCTTTCGACACAGTCTCCCATCATATCCTCCTAGGGAAGCTGAGGAAGTGTGGGCTGGATGAGTGGTCGGTGAAGTGGATAGAGAACTGGCTGAATGGCAGAACTCAGAGGGTTGTCATCAGCGGCTCTGAGTCTAGTTGGAGGCTGGTAACAAGTGGTGTCCCCCAGAGGTCAGTACTGGGCCCAGTCTTGTTTAACTTCTTCATCAATGACCTGGATGAAGAGTTAGAATGTACCCTCAGCAAGTTTGCTGGTGACACAAAACTGGGAGG